TGAATATTTGAAGCAATGTTTCTTCGGGGAAAAAATCTACTGGGAAAACCCCCAACTTAGATGAATAGTTGAAGGAGGGTTTCATAATGAATGATTGAAAGAGCTTTTAATACTGAAAAATCGAGCCTAGGTTTCTTTATTTAAGGAGCAATTTTTAGTGGCAAACCCAGCTTGGATTAGTTGTTGAAGAAGCAGGAGGCTCTTAATGAGAAGGAAATTTTTGGGTTTTCGTGATAGCTGTTCCAAAAAAAGAGGAATTAACTAATGCTCATGTTTTTTAGCCCCCCAGTGGCACAGCGGTATGTCTGCGGACTTACAACGCTAGAAACCGGGTTTCGATACCCGTGGTGGGCAGATCACAGATAGCCCTTTGTGTAGCTTTGTGCTTAATAACAAACAACAATCATGTTTTTATTGTTTTGTTTTTCATATGCATATTTTCTCACTTACATTATACTTGTGAAATTGAAACAAAACATAAATGTAAAAGAAGCAAGTAGGCCTTGCATCTGTTTTTCCCACTGCTTTAAAAATCGCACATTCGGTTATATATACCCACATATACCCTGAATTATATACAAACAAACAAAAATATATAAGTACGTGTCAAGTAGAAGTTACAAGGACTGGTGGGTGAAGGAAATATCAAAGAATTAGAAATTGTATATAAATGTATACAAATCTTCTACAAATTCACTATTTAAATTTGTTGCTTACTCCTAACATAGTAGGTTGCCACACGTTACTCATTATGTTATTTCTTATCTTTTAAGTAAAATAACAAATATGGTTCATCCAAATTACATAACATTACAAGTGCCGTATCACGAAGGACAATATCTCATTATCCGAAGTTGTTTACTTTTGTTCTCCCGTTGTAATAAACATTCTTATATTAATAGCCCATGAGTGAAAACAAAGGAGAATATGTTATTATATGTCAACCACATTACATATACATCAGGGGTTCCCAAACTTTGCCAACCGGCTGATCCCCTTCAACTTCTTTACTGTATTGGCGGACCACCTTAAATATAGTTTTTATCATGTATAACTTGTGTATCATATACCTATTTTACTACCTTTACAGCTTGATTATAGTTTTAATAAACGAGGAATGAAAAAGATTGAAATATGGAAAAAAAAATACGATTTACTTGAATGGGAAGGATGATGCTGCTTTGCTGAAACAATCTTGCGAATTTCTGGGTCAATGTCTAATAGTTTCAACAATGTCTAATAGTTTCAACAATGTCTAATAGTTTTAAACAATGTCTAATAGTTTCAACAATGTCTAATAGTTTTAAACAATGTCTAATAGTTTCAAACAATGTCTAATAATTTCAAACAATGTCTAATAATTTCAAACAATGTCTAATCGTTTCAAACAATGTTTAATCGTTTCAACAATGTCTAATAGTTTCAAACAATGTTTAATCGTTTCAACAATGTCTAATAGTTTCAAACAATGTCTAATAATTTCAACAATGTCTAATAATTTCAAACAAAGATCCGGCTCTACATTTATCTTATTTCTATACTTGTGTAACCAAGTTGAGAGAAACCTCGCATTTTATTTTATTCTTTACTATTTCAGTAAATGGTAATTTCATAAATTAGGTGTATTACTGCGGACCCCCAGAGGGCTACGGATCACAGTTTGGAAACCTCTGATATACAGAGCCGACGAGGCCTTTCGCCCAATACTAGGGCTTATCAGGCCGGTTGGGATATGACAGACGAAGTAGTGATCTAGATGCTGAATATATCATCAATTTTCATAAACAACAACTATTACGATGTGAACTAGAATAAGCAAGTGAATTGTAATTATTATAATTTTTATTAAAGCCATGTACAAATCAGATTTTTAAGGTAATAATTCATAATCTAACGTTATTATTATACAATTAAAAGCAGTACAACGATAAAATAATTACACAATAAATTATTTATTTAAAACAAGGAGCAGCCCTGAAAAGACCCTACATGTTTCGGTGTTCTTACTCCGCCATCTTGTGTATGTATATATATTTATTGTACAAGTGCCGTTTTAAATTATTTAAAATTATTACTATTATCATTTTATGGTCTTTACTCAATAATTCTATCCTCTTTACTGTAATATAAAATATGTTTAATAAGTGTTGCTAACTAGTACTCCTGTTCTCCTATTGTTATAAACTTTATCTGATCAACGTTCCTGTGTTCTCTACTGAATACTTCTTTCTTCCCAGTACTATAAACGCCCAGGCGTTGTTTACCATATCCCCATTGTTATAAACGTTTAAGCAAAGTTTACTATACCCCCATTGTTGTAAACATATAAACAGTCAGACGTTGTTTACTATAACATCCCCTTCTTCCCATTGTTGTAAACATTAACAGTCAGGCGTTGTTTACTATGCTCTCGTATTCCCACTGTAACAAATGTTGCTGTGTTCTTTACTGAAATATTCTGTTTTGGTAGCGACCGAGGCTACTACGTTGGGGCATCTATGTCAGCTCAGTTAGCTGGCATCATGGGACTTGGTAATACGTTTTACAACGCAGTTTAGACTATAATGACTACAAACTTGTCAGCGGAAGATAATCGATATCAAATTTAGAAGGTGACTAACTTGTCCATGTCTTGTTGATTCAGAACCAGTTTATACGTTCGTTGTGTTAATATAGCAAGACAGTAGCTTGAACAGGAAAATCCTATCAATCAATAACATAGCCAGAATAATTCTATTTAAAATGTTGTTTATGTTATTCTCTTTGTTTCATAGTGATAATAATAATAATAAATAGCATTACTGGGGTAATTTGTTATTCCAAAGCACCGACTTCTAATATTTTGCCATGTTACTGTACGTATATAAATACAAACTTCCTAGAAACTGCTCGATTGTGAAGGCCACAGAAACTTGGTTTTACAGGAGAGGAAAGCTTCAGTATTAACGATAAGTGCTCGGAAGAGACCAGGCTACGTACAAGATAATGATATTAGCTTCCACCTTAATGGAGTATACCAAAACGTCCTGACTAATGGTACATTTAAGGGGAAACTACCGAAAAGGGATCTAGTGTGACTGTCGTTTCATATTTGGTATAAATAACCGGCATTTTGACCAGCCTTGAGGAATGCCTTGGGTTCTGAGATATTGACATAAAATGTTTAATGGCAAAAAAAAGAAAAAAAAGATTTAGATCATTGATGATAGAAATTTCAACTACATGTTTGTTGAAACTTGTTAGACATTTTTTTTTTCTTCTGGAAGTCAGTAGTTCTCAAACATTTTAAATCATGGACCCTTTCAATCCCCACCCCCAACCCCCACCTGGTAAACATTAAATAAACAGATATACGTCAAAGGCGTTTAATCGACACTTTAGTCAAAACATTTTGTGGTCGGATATGCTTTTAATATAGTCACGTTACTCATTGCAATAAATACTTATTTTGCGGTAACTTTTTTCCTGAATTTTCTCACGAACCCCCAGGATATATTCTGTCCCCCTCCAAGTTTTAAAACCACTGCCCTAGATAATCAAGGCGGATCTAGAACTTTGTTACTTTCATTTTGATGAACTGTACCACTACAAACTTGTTGGTGAAGCTCAAAAATCATATGCAGATATATTTATATTATTATCTTGAATTTGACTTCTTAATTTTTGGTATCTCTATCAGTGGCTTAGGAAATGGGGACCCCCCCCCACACTTTTGAATCTTTCCCGATAATAATGCGTCAAAATTAGAAAAATCACTTTCAGGAATAGCAGGAGAGTGCACGAAATTTAATCCAGAACCCAAAAGTTTACAGTTCCCTAAGGCGGGCTCTGGACCCCAGCTGTAATGGGTGAGCTTGTGGCACACATTCCCTCGCTTCGCACGGTCAAATAAACCTTGCCCCTCCCCACTTTTAATTTTTCTCCTACACCTCTGTCTATTACGCATTTAGGTTAAGTCCTGTAACTCAGTTTAGGCTGAAACATTTAATAAGAGAATTAAACTCTCGAAATACAGTTTAATTAATTTTGAGTATCTAAAATAAGGAATTTACATGATAATCGTTTCTGTTTACCAAAGATTATGTCGCTTTACTAGTAGAAAGTGTTTTACAGTGTCAAGATATGTTATTGCCTTCACGTGCTTACTTTGTCATTTCCTTTAAGCTTTCACAAACCATTGTGTGGAAAATTGAGCTTTGTTTATTATCCTTGCAAAGCTGAAAATGCTAAATAACGAGCTTTTATCCTGAAACTAGGGATAAGTGGCTTGTATTCAAAATAATTCGCCACTTTGTTAAAAATTAAAAAAGTTTGTCAAATAATACGTGAATTAACATAAATCGGGTTGTATGGAACATACGTATTATCTATCCATCATTGTTCTACTTTTCTACTACTTTATGGCAGAACGTCTATGTGGTTATCACTGTGTTTGTCAGTTTGGATCGTTATGTATATGCAGAATGTATCTCATTTTGAAACAAATCTATCAATGGTAGCTACTTTGAAAGGGTTGTGTATGATAAAGGTTGCTTGCAGCAAACGTATGAGTGAGCAGTTGTAGCTTAACTAATTAAAAGTTTTGTATATATGTTTATTTAATTTTAAAACATAATTTTTGGACATAACAGGGTGAGGGTTGATACTGTGGTAGAACTCTGGATTTCAAGGCTGACTAGCAGAGTTTGAATCCGTGCGATATCAGAAAATATTTCCCGCACTTTAAGCTGTGGATGCATTATAAGAGTGGCAATCAATCCCTCAGCGTGAATGGTAGGGTTCAGTAGTTTAGAATTAAAGACGGCGGCAGATAGCCTTAGTAGCTTTGTCATAAATAAATTATATAAATAAATATAACATTCAAAACATGATGTTGCAATGGAGGAATACGCAATTCTATAGTGGTCGTTTTTTTTTTTTCTTGGCACATTAATTAGGTAAAAGAACGAGGCTTAGCAAAAGAGCGGTTGCATCACAATAGACATTTCTTTCTTTTCTAGAAGTCGTGCCTGTCCAGCCAGATTTAACACAAAATGTTCTTAGCGCACAGCCTCATCTTAGACATGGAAGTCGTAGTGACTTAAACAGCAACGAAAAGTTGGGTTTATGCGTAACCTACCCTCACCTGTATCCTGCTAACATACCCCCAAGCCCTGCACAAAGTCGCGTTCCGTTACTGGACACACAACGTTCACAGACTCCTAGCTCAGTTGAAAAGCTACCACAGTCCGAGTCCTCAGCCTCTGGACCATCTTCTTTATCAAGTAAGTTATCTTGGAAAACTGTCGTATTCTTGCATTAATTCAACCTTTGTAACAGATTAGAAAAGGATTAAGATTTGATCACATAAGGATAGATGGTAAATTAGAATCCAGTTTATCCTCGGTTTTACGATGCTTTGATATCTAGAGAATGCGATGTGGAATTGCTTAGAAATGGACGCATATACCTATGTTTGTATCTTGGCACATTTAGAAAACTGGTTTTATTACATATTGTTTGGGTAAGTTGATAATCAAAATAATTCTTAATAATTAACGTTTATTTACGTATGATTCCATGAGCTAAACGGTTTTATGTAACTGATTCACTGTAAAATATATTCCCGAAAAATCATCATTCTCTTGAAGGAAAAAAAAAAGGTGATTGATAAATGATACTGTGATTTTTATCTTACTTTCACTATTCCTTTAAAATTACAATAGTGTTGTCACGGTAATTTCTTTCTTTCTTTCTTGTTCCCGTTACACTGTTAGTCGTATGAACGTGAATAAAGTTTCGTCATAGAAAAACAAAATGTTGTGTAATTGTTATTTCGGTTTTATTAGTTGTTTGTATCGTTGTTAGAAATAGCTAAACGGATTTAACAAAGATCGCTGCTGCTGAGCAAATGAGGAGAAACTGGCCCCGTAAGAAAAAATCAAGGCTTATCTAACCACTTGTACTAACTGCCGTTTCAGGCTCACGAGCAAACTCAATTTTCGGACCGGAAGTTCCTTCTGGAAGAAATTCTGTGACGTCAGCGATACTTCCACCCAATCTCGATATTGAGTGCATTGCATGGAAGATCGTAACTAAGGCTGGAGCAAGGATAACCGTTCCTGACTCTGGTCAGTGTTTCTCTTTTTTCTTTTGTACGGATACATTGCTTTCATAATTGTATTACGTTAGACCATGTCCCCCTCCCCCTTATTCGTATCATGAAATAAGGAAGTCTCAGTCATGGAGTCTCCCAGTGGCTGAGCGATAAATCCGAAGGCTTATAACGCCAAAAACCGGGTTTCGATACCCGTGCTGACCACATCACAGATAGTTAAATGTGAAGCTTTGCTCTCAAACCTCAGTTATGGGTGTTTTGCTTTAATTGAATTATTCATTTTACTAAACACGTTAAATGCTAAATTATTATGTATTAAATGGCCCTCTTTAATTTGACTACTGATATAGATGGTGATTAAATTTTGCTTTTATAACAAGTACCGAAAAGTTTGGAATCATTAATCTTTAGGTGTATCTAGACAGAAAGTTTTTGACACTAATTTATTTTACTTTTTCAGGAATAACTGTAACTATTCCAAAACGGGCAATGAAAGCAGGCGCTAAAGAAGAGATTTATGTTGCAGTACTAAGAGAAGACAAAGATCGGCCAAGGCTTACAGGTAAATTTCTATACTAAAAAGACCCTTTACAGCTTACACTTTCTAATCGATATTTATCTTAACCAACTAGTGTACCTATAGATGTAAGTTGTATATGAAAATCGTACTATTTGTTTGATTTGATGCTTATCCTGTAGAAATATAGAACACTAGACCTTTGCTTTCAGATAAACAAACTCTTCTGAGTCCAGTGATTCAGATTGGGCCCCCAGGTGTCGCTTTGAAAAAACCAGTCATTATTAGTTTTCAACACTGTGCTGTTGTTGATCCAGATAATTGGAACGTTCACGTTTATAGCAGCGAAAGTAGTACAGAAGAAGAAAATCCAGCTTGGAGTGTAAGTTTTGTCACGTTGTAAAAATATAAATAAAAAATGGTATGTGATATTAGCAAGCAAAAATAACCCTCTATAAGATATAAACAAACCAAAATGCAAAGCACTATCTAGCATTATGACTTTTTGACTGAAATATCAACATAGGTTTCAAAACTTGTCACATGTATTAAAAATAAACAACTAACAACTTCTTCAATTTGCGCATACAGATTGTTGTGCGAAATAATATTTACTGTTTGTTGTTATGGTTTTATTTTTACACCAATATTAGACGTATTTGACAAAATTATCATCAGAATGTCATATGTTATTAATTGTTTTTTAAATCTAATGAGTTTTAAATGGCAGTAGAAATGTATTGTTATTCGTTTACAGAAAATCGTCACCCTGAGTGAGGAAACCATCAATACACCTCTTTATTGCCAGCTAGACTCTCGCCAAAGCCATCTGGTGACCGATCAGCTAGTCAGATATGTATTAGTAGGTGAATCTCGTCCAAACTCCAAGGCTTTAAAATCCCTTACACTTGCAGCTTTTGCTCCAACTTTGCATTCTTCTGTGGATTATAATGTTCGTTTATACTGTGTGGAAAATACCAGGGCAGCTCTGGAGGTAAAGAAACAAGGAGATACTACTTTATATAGTTACAAGACCTTGTTGATTTGTATTTTTACAGCAGAGTAACTGTTAATAAATCAAACATTGTCATATTAATATATTAAATTTAAAATCATTACCAGCTGTTTTGGGGTTGTTCAAAGATTGGTTAGTGTTTTTTCGAGGCAAAAAAAAATCATAAGATAACTGTCTTCCTAAGGGAAGGAAGGGAAATATTTTTCTGATATGTTACTTTAACCTTTTCTCCCCTTTAAACAAAAACTCTTGATTATTTACTTGAAAACATCATTCACCAGTTGATTAGTAGTTTTCCCTGAAACTATATAGCGCTTTTTATAGAAAATGAAAAAAACTATAATATTCATGTGTGTCCCTAAGTGAGATGGGGGGATAATTCTTAATATATAATCTGACTTTTTTTAGTTTTAGTAAGAAACATAAACACTTGTGTTTTTGCAAAGTCTTAACAATACAAAAAAACACATAAACTTGCCATTTGTAAGAAAATAGTCAAAGCAAATGTTGTACACACTGTATTTTATAAATTGTTCTAAACAGTTTTTAGCAGATGTTACACACTATATTTTAACATGTTAAACATTTTTCATCATATATATTTTCTAGAAAGTTTAACTTGTACATCTTACAAACAGCACCTTAGGCTAAATTAGAAAGTTTTGGTATTTCTAATGAATTTTGTGGCTTTTATAATAATATCAATAATATATATTAATGTCATAAGTGGGGTACCGTCAGGGCTCAGTCTCAGAACCTTT